AAGGTGAATTTTGGATCAGACCCTAATTTCCCCAAGACTTCTGAGAGGGAAATGCCCCCATTTTATAAGGGGGAGGGGACCAAGACACACAGGAAATGTGAATTTCATACAAGGAAATATAATGAGTTAATAGTAGAGCCAGGCACAGGGCCCAAAGAATCTGATGTAGCAAATGGCAGCGCGTACAGAAAATTGAACCAGATGAACTTGTGAAGAGTGGGTTGAGATTTCCACACAAGGAGGTGTGTAACTCAGGCACACTCAGCATGGCTCTCTGTACCCCTCTGACAGCAGCTAGGGCCCAAGCTCTTTCTGACCAGTGTTCCCTGTAAGTCGTGCACATGTGCGACTGCTCAGGAAGGATTCAAATGCCCCACAGTTGACTAGCAGAGCGCCCACAGCTCAGTTTTGTGTTTCTACTGGTGGTGCCCTTTCACACATGCCTTGGTGCACATAAAAATTTCGTGAGTGGAAAAATTCTGCATGCGGATGGAAGATTAGAGGGAACATTGTTTGTGACGTGACTCCGGGTCATCTTCCCTGCTACAATCTCTTAGGGCAGATCTACGCAGCAGGGCAAAAGTCTAATTAAGCTACGCAATTTCAGCTACGTCAGTTACATAGCTGAAGTTGAAATAGCTTAATTTGGCTTTTGGCGCTGTCTACACTGCAGGAAGTCGAAGGAAGAACACTCTTCCTTCCACTTCCCTTACTCCTCATGACACGAGGGTTACCACAAGCCAGAGTAAGAAGTCCTCCAGCTCGAAATTATTTCAAAATAATGGTTTGCTGTGTAGACACGGACTATGTTATTTTGAAGTAACGTCCGTTATTCTGAAATAACGTTGCTGTGTAGATGTGCCCTTAGTGAGCAGCCTCATCAACTCAGGCTGAGATAGGATAGTCATTACTAGTTTTGTTTAATTGAACTTAATGCTGACAAAAGGCAATACGCAGCCTTCGACACTCCAGCATTATCGACATAGGAACAGGCTGGGACAATACAATCTTCTCACTTGGTTCCAAGATTTCTAGCAGGAGTTTTGCTTGCATAAGGGCTGACTAAAAACAAGAGAACATGCCCTTAATTATTACAGCCCAGACTATGCCCCCATGTGCTTAAAATCATAGCCTTATTTCTGTGAAATAGCTAATGAACGAGAACAATACATAGCTCTGATCCTGCAAACCTTTCTCAATAGTCATCCTGAAAGACAATGAGACCTGGGCTTTTTGTCACATTCTATCCTAAGGAAACAACAGCACAGCCAGAGTTTCTGTCCCAAATAGACTATCGGTTTCAACTTCTGCTCCAGTGAAAGTCTCTAAGATGCCAGCATGCCCACACATATTTACCTTGGAAATATCTTACTAGGCAGAAAGATCTGGATGTAGATTTTTTTTTCAAGTGGGCAGCAGACAGGGTTTGGTTTGGCCACTAACTAGTTTTTTTAAGAATTAATTTAAAATATATTTAAAAAACATGAAGAGAACTGAATAAAGTTTGGTGTTTTGAGTCAGAAGGGACGGGAAATTATTTTAAATGCAGAAAATAATTGCTACGCAAGTGTTGCAGTCTCCGTTCCAAGCAATTTCTCTTACGCGTAAATGCTGCACTGAACCCATGTTACTGCATGATTAACTCTTGCTATGCCAAGTGGTTTAGTATGGCTTGTGGTTTCAATTAATGCCCATTTTTTTGTTGGGGAAGGTCAATTTTAAACAGGAAAGCAGATTTTGAATGATCAGAGCCATCCTAAAACCTTGTCAAATGGAGTATGTAGCTTGTACCGCATTGTTCCTCCAACACTTGAAAGTCCCGTTCAAGCCATCAGACCAAGAATGGAAAGAAGCCTTCCGTGGGTCAGAATCGCAGTACCTGGGCTGCAGATCGGCACTAGATTTGCCAAGGCTAGCATGGTGGAAAATCTGGGGAAGCCATGAGGTTGCAATTCCACTTGTATCTGCTCCTCCCCTTCTCTGCAGCAACCTGGAAGGAGCGCCCACAGAGCACGGCTCTGCGGCACATACATCTGCAGCCTCCTTTTGTCCTCCCAGCCCTCCCATGCAGGAGTCAAATGAGCAGTTTTTGTGGACCAATATGCTTTTTATTGGGCAAGACAAACCACTAGAAACCTATGATTCACTGGTCATAGATCGTCACAGCATCAGTCCGATTTGTCTATACCAAGCCTAGAAAGAATAAATGATTTAATATGCCACGGCAAACCAATGCTAACTTGCTTCACTGCATTTAGACACACCAACTCACATGGCATGCAAGTTCACACCACATTTCATGGCCTTGCCATAAGGGGCCACATTACCTTCTATGTCTAGATGAAATGGAGTGGGTTAAGGGAGGCTTGAATAACTTTTCCTTAGTGGGTTAAAATCTAAGGAGTCAAATTCAAAGCTGGTTTGTGAAAATGAAATTCCAGTAAAGTTAATAACTGATCACAGGCTTTGAAAGGAATGATGGAGAAAATAAGCGAAAAGAAATTTCAGCTGTTAAGGAGAAATGCGTAACGGTTAGCCCTATCAGACCAGGGGTGGGCGATAAGTGGCTGGCAGGCCAGATGTGGTTCACTAGGGTTAGTCCCAGGCAGCCCGCCAGATGCTTTATTTACCTATGTGTCCACAGGTATGGCCGCATGCAGCTCCCATTGGCCACGGATAATCATTCCCAGCCAATTGGGGACGCCGGGAGTGGGTGGCCGCGCCGCACTTTCGCAGCTCTCCCTTTGGATGGATCATCATCCCCAGCCAATGGGAGCTGCAGGAAGTGGTGTGCCAGTCTGCATTGCTTCCTGCAGCTCCCATTGGCCAGGAATGGCGATCTGTGGCTACTGGGAGCAGTGTGTAGCTGTACCTGAAGATGTGCAGGTAAATAAATGGTCCAGTGGCTTGCCAGGGGTAATCTTGGTGAACCGCAACCGTCCCATGAACCTCTTATTACCCACCCCTGTCCTCAACTGTGGAAGTGCATCTCAAGAAAAGCACTGGAAGACTCAAAAGCACCATTTCAGCCATGTCAAGCTAGCCTGAACAATACACTGTAATGAACAATCCTCCACTGGACTACATGGAACACAACGGGTCTTTTTCCAGTTGCTAACATATATGAAATGTCTGTTTCTAAACATCAGCAAGGGAATCCAACCCTTTCCCCTGGGCCCTTGAAGGGAAGGTGGGCTGCATGCCTGGCACAGAAGAATTCTAGGAGGTAGATAAGTAATGCTCCTGACATGATCACTGCCATTCAAGTCCTTGATGCAAGGCCACACAGCAACATGCTATCTGCAGTTTGATGCACATTAGAATCATTCTCTCTGCTTTATTTTGCAGGCACTTCAACTGAAACTGTTAACTAAAGAGACTCAGCACTTTCATCTTCTAGCCAGAAGTTTCATGCTTTGAGCCATGTGGACTGTAGATGGTCCTTGAACCATTTCCTCCACAGAAACTATCCTTACACTTTGGGAATGGAAGCCAATGCTTTCCATAAGGATGAGCTGCAAGAACGCAAGCAGTTGTACCACCATGTACATGGATCCCACCTATCTGAGATAGGGGAACCAAGCTGCCCATGTCCAAAGGCCATCAGGTTAACACACATGCCAATGGTTCTTTGAAGTTAATAATCAAATATGAAGCCAGTGGCTGAGTGAGGACAAACCTTCTAATCCATTTGCCCTATATAGAAAGTGGTATGCTAGGAGTGAAGGGATGTATTTAACTAGGAAAAATCTGCTTCTTGGAAAGCTTAAGGTCTGAATCATGCTGTGTTGGCTTGGTTTTTCAGCAGACAAACTACCACATAGGTTTCCTTGTGGGTGGAGAGGCAGCACTGCCATCAGAATTAGCAGCTGGATTCCTTTCCCATGAAAGCTAAGTAACAATGCTAATGCACACTCAGGACCCAGAGTTACCTGAAAATATCACTGGCTTGTGCAAATGGAAACACCTGCACAAAATCAGGAATCCACTGGTCAGGCAGCAGAACAGCTAGGGACAGGAAAGCCAGTGAGAAGGAGTCACTAGTACTAACATTATACAAGAGACTGTGTTAACCAGATATTTACTGGCAGAAGCACAACCAGCAATTGAAGGATTCTAATAACAAATATGAGCTCAGACATGCAAATATGCCTGGGTTTTTTAATTTATGTTTTGCACAGGTGCAACTTAGGTGTCTATGTTTGAAAATTCCCTTCCTCTCACCTACCAGTCCAGGAAAAAAGGGGTTTTACCAGCTCTGAGGATCAGCTCAGTGCACAAAACTCAGATCTAGATTTCAAAATATTTCCCATTATTACATTTAGGGTTTTGGTTTGGCCCAGGATAAAAACAGGGATCATTTGCAA